GTGTGTGTGTGTGTGTGACTGAAATACCTCATTCTATTTTGGCGTGGGAGTACTTGTGCCTGGAGAACGTGTCCAAAATACTTCTGCCATTTGCATGCTTCTGGGGTCACTGTCTGACCATTTGTGTGTGTGTGCGCATGCATGTGTGTGCATGTGAGGCCTGTGCCAGAGGACAAATTGCTCTGTCTTGTGATGATGAAACTGGATCAAAAGTGCTTGAAGAAAAGTCAAAGTGCTCCAACTCTTTCGTTGCTTTCTACTGGCTCAAAGTTGGTTTAATCACTCGTGTTCCACTCGACCTCTGCTCTGCACCCGCCACCTTCAGTCTCCGAGTCCATATTGAGCAACCTGATGGTGTGTGTGGTTGTTGCAGGAGAGGCCAGCTTCTCTCATTGGCCAGTATGTCAGCCCAGGCTTCCCGGAGGCCACCACACAAGCTTCTTCTCTCATAGATTTTCTCAAAAGCAGTTTTTTAGTCAGAGGGAGGTTCATGGCTGTAAGGAAACTTAAGAGAGGCTGTCAGGATTCTTAAAAGCCTCACACATCTTGATGATGATGTTGTTGATATCGGAAACTGAAGCTCATTCGGCTGCTGCATTCTGCATAAGAGCGCCAGCTAAATGTCTTGATGAAAATGGGCTCGGCTGAAATTGGATCTGGAAGGAGAATATTGTTGTCATTTAGAGCTGCAGCCCGTTTAATTCTCTCTACATCTAGTTTACATTTTGTCCAGTCATTACACAATGCGTTCCCTATGTAATTGGATTTGTTTAATTTTACCTTGAGGTGGTGTTCAGATGCCACAACTGGCATTTGCCACTTTCAGGAAGTAGTTTTTACATTAAAATCACATCAGTTGCATTGTTTAGAGTTTCTGAAGAAATTTAGACATTTTATAGGCTGAAGTCCATTAGTGAACGTTATTGACTCGTTCTGAGTCAAAGGTTGAACTAATTATAATTGTATTTGATAGACTGAGTTGCTGTGTTTTAATGTGCTCGGTTCCATCAGTCTTATTTTATACATTAACACCAAACTGCCACTGAAAATATGTGCTGTTATATTGTTATATATATTATATTGTTTTTATTGTTTGTAAATGCAAAGTTGCACAGTACAAACTCCTTGAAACAACTTTTTGTAACAAAGACACCCTAAACATAGACATTTATTGTCACATGATTGGCTGCATTTGCCGTTAAGAGAGGTTTTTATTGTCGGTCTACATTAATGCTATCATAGCACCACACTGGGCTGTTACTGTAGGTTAGCCTTGTGTCTATCTGGGCCAAGCACAGCGTTCTGAGCCCTGGGGAAGAGAAACACTTTCTTAGCCACCAGACCTCGGTAAAAAATAGAGCCTCGGTGAAAATGGTTTCAGATACAGGCTGTAATGCACATCATGTGCACTGGGCTGAAATAATGTTTGGAAACTGTCTGAAAACATCTAAGCATCCTTTGCAAGTTGAGCTAAATGAGGTGCCTAAAACACTCAGTGGGATCTTGAGCTTCACTTTTGATAAGCTGAGCAACTTAATGTATTCTGACTGATGTTGTACTACTAACAAATGTATGGCTGCTGTACTGGCAGCAACTCAGATATCATGAAATAAGTCAAGCTTAAGCAAGGACATATCCCCCAAATGACACATTGCTTTCAATGCAGTAATTACACAAGTAATCTTTGTTTTAGATCTTTTCTGACCAGATATCCATGAATAGCTCTATTGAAGTGAGGAAACACTGATGATAAAAATACATGAAAAGCATGATGTTTCAAGCAAGCAAAGAGTGAACAGATAAGCTTTTGCAAGATCTTAGACAGACTGGTGAACTTAATTGAATTGAACAATGTTAAATATTGAGTATTATAACCCATAAAATTGTTATTTAATCAACCCATAAAAAACAAATTCATTTGATTGCAATGCATTTTAAGTTTAATGGCCCATTAAAGTCTGAATGTGGTTTTAGAAGTGTTACTAAACTCACAATAGAAAAAATCTGGGAATAACAAAACACTGCAAGCTTGGCATGAAATGGTGCTAAACTAATCAACTACACACATTTATGACTCCAGATGGTGTTAACACACTAAATTTGTTTCAAAAATTTTAGCTTTTATTGGCCGAAGTCCCAATAGGAGGCATAAATAGTCTACAACATGCTAACCAATGTAACTGGTGTGTGTTGCTTTTTGAGTAAAATAAATGAAAACACATTTTGCTCCCCAGATTTTAATTTACGAGCTCCCGTGGGCGGCAGAATGACCATACCTGACACTGAATTTAATTTAGACAAATTTCATTAATCTGCTCGTGGATCAGTTACCTGATATAAAACATTCTTCTTTGCTGCGTGCCCACATTGTGATGCAGTCTGACAAGAAAGAAAAACCCACCTTTTGCAGCTCGACACATGTTTAATATTAGCACAAAATCCATAATTCTATCTGCAGCTTTAATAACAGTTTCAAGGTTGACCTTCACAAGTCATATAGGTGGAACCCCAGTGTGGATAACTAGCTGCTCCTCCAAGGATGTCAGGTCTATAAATAAAAGAGAGACAGAGAGAGGAGAGGTTGCAGCTTCAAGCTGAATTCAATAATTCTCTGACATGTCTTGTGTGGTTCTGTTTCTTCAGCCTGATACTTTTAACTTACAGGTACTGCAGGCAGCACTTCAGAGAGCAGAGGGAAGGGAGGAAGGATTCACCGAGCCGGCTGCGTACTATATTTATAGCGGCACTGTTTCCATGCTACGTTCTCACATGTTGTACTGCAAAGGAGCATAAGCTGCATCCTCCGCCACCTTGCGTCCTTCAGGCGGGGAGCTGCGTGACCTTCATCACTGCTGCTTATCAGCAGATATGGACGGCACAGGAGGGAGGGAGTAGGAAAGAGGAGATGGGGTGACTCAGGGAAAAGGGGGGCAGAGGAGGAAATGAGAGCAAAGGGGAGAGGGGTGAGAGGAGGAGGAGAATATAGTTTAGAAATGTGGATAATGGCGACATTCGTAGTGCTACATTTTGGAAAGGGACAGTTGCGTAAGGAATGAAGACAGAGTTCAGAGAGGAGTTCAAACCCTGGCTCCTTCCTCACCTCTGCACAGCTGGCAGTGTCTAGTCTGATCTGACATCAGGAAGGTGTGGAGGGAGGAGGTCTCCAAAGCTAAGAGAAAAGGAAAAGAGGACAGGAAGTGATGGAGGAGGGACGAGGTGAAAGAAAAGGAGTGAAGGAGAGGAAGGAAAGGGAGAGATGGCAAAGGTTTGTGGCAGTAGAGGGAGAAAGGGGTGAGGTTAAAGGAGAGGGAAGCAAAAGAAGACAGTAGATTCAGATGGGGGGGGGGGGTNNGGGGGGGGGGGGGGGACACGTAATGCCTCATTAATGCATTTACTCCTCCTTTAGAGAGAGCGGCGCTTGTGAAGGTCTGCCTCGGCGAATTCGAATGCAAGCTGAGCTCACTTTCTGTCGAACAGTTGGCCTCAGAAACCACCTCTCTGTCTCTCTTTCACGTGTCCCCATGTGGGAGCTGCAGGCGTGATCGTGTGTGTATGTTCACGTATGAGTGTGTGCCTCAGTGTGTATTGTGAGGTCGTTTGAGGACGACGCAGACTGCCAGTGTCGCCTCTTCTTCTTCTTTTCTCGCCACTTTGGCTGCTGAAATGGAGACGATTCACAGATTTGAATGAGAGGGGAGATAATTAATAGTGTTTATGCGTGTGTGTGTGTGTGTGTGTGTGTGTGGGCCAATTCTGCAATGCTGACCGTCTCCAAGGAGATGCAGGAGGCGAGGGAAGCAGTCAGCATGGTGTAGTAAACCCAAGAAATGTCACTGTTTGTTTCGCAATCACAGTGTGTGTGTGTGTGTGTGCTGGCAGGGGTGTTTAAGTCAACCCTTTACCTGCTTATTTGTTGCCTAGCAACTCTGCCTATGTGGCCTTCATCAAGGCTGGATATATGCTTGATCACAGGTAGCCCAGGTGTGTTTGGGCGAGCGAGGTTTACTAACATGCCAAAGTGTGCGAGCGAGAGATTATGTGGCAGCAGCGTGTTTAAACCTCAGGTCCTCTCCTCCATACTTTGTTTCATTTGTTGATTAACTTCTGTCTTTTCCTAATCCATCCATTCTTCCTTTCTTGTTTCCTTTCATCCCTTCTTCATCTTTCCTCCTGTCAGCCTGTCTTCCTTTATTTTCTTCCTTTCTTGTTTTTCATCTTTCCTCTCTTTCGTCGTTCCTTCCCTCTTTCCTCCGTCATCCAGCTTTTCCGTGTGGCATGGTTTTCTCTTAACCCCCATTTCCTTTGCTCCCATCCATCCTTCCTTCCTTCTTTCTTTCCTTCCTTCCTTCTTTATGGCGCACTGTGTCTGTAGGATTTCATTTAGCTCAACTATTCTGCTCGCTGACTTGTTGAGTGTAGTCGTAGATTGAGTCTGAAATGGTGAACGTTTTTTTGAGCTGTTGAGTGGAGTTGTCAATATTAAACTTCAGCACGTTTGCTTCTCTAAATTAGATCAAAATTGTGTAGTTGTTGTTTTAACAGTAAGAGCAAGTTCTCACATGAAGTTTTCATTAGTTAATAGCCAATACTTCATCTGCATTAATGAAAGCTTGCTGTGGCATCCGGGAAATTAGAAGCTTGTTAAGTGTGTAACATCTGAAGAGTTTAGGGATTGAAAAGATTTAAATTATGATATAACCAGAAGTAGATCTGCAGTAGGCTTTTAATGACATATTCTAATAACTCTGGTTGTTGATAGGGTTGGTTAATTAGTGAGTCTATTGGAAGAAAAGCTTCATAAACTCATTATTACAAGTCACAAAGTTGAAGTTCAACAGTTAACAGTGATGCTCTTTCAGCTTTGCTTTTGTTAGGAGTAACAGAAAAATAGAATGATGAATATTGGACTGGACTCGCTTGTTTACCCCCAAACACACACACACACACACACACACACACACATAAAACCTGATACTACTGTCTGCTGGGAGTGACTCTCTTTCTTCCTCTAATATGTGCTCACAGACACACACACTGATCAGATGAAGTGGCAGTTGGAATGATGCTACTACTGTTACTTAAGTGTGTTTGTAATCGCTCCTTAAGCTTTCTCCTAAGACATTAATTTGTTCTTACCTCAGCTTTGTACGCTGTGATAATTGTGCCAGAAGCATCTCAAGTAGCTTCCTAAGGTAAATAAAACGGAGGGACTACCAACAGTCCAGCAGGGATATGGTAAAGTTGCCATGGTAACGCCGGTCCTGCTCAGGTTAATGAAATGTTGATTGCAATCCAAACTCTTATTGTTTCCGCTGTTTGTGCAGAGTTGTTATTAAAATGTTTGATGAACGAATTAGAAAATTGAGGCCAGACTTAACAGGAGGAGAAAATTGGGTTGTTAGATGAACATGGCCAAAGAAAACATTGTATATTACAGAAAAACATGATTTGAAGGTATTATTCAGTCCAAAAAGGGTTTTTATGAACTTCTTCAGTTCCTCAGAATGCAGTGAAGTTAATTTGTGCAACTCTTGCAAATATACGTTGTGAGATGCTTTATGCAGTGGGGTACTGCCCATTACAGACACAAACACCATTCCAGGTACTTCTTTTCCCCCATTTGGTTGATCATTTTGCTTGTTGTCTGAAAAACACTGGTATGAAAACGTATACAGACCTCCTCTGCTGCTTACAGTTTACCTGATTGCTTTATATCCTGATAATGGAGCCAAATTAGTAGTCAAACAATAGACATTTCCACTTTAGCTTTCTGAAATACCATAATTAAACAGTCTGTGTGGGTCTGTGTGTGTGTGTGTGTGTGTAGGTGTGTGTGTGTCTGTGTGGATGGAGAGAGAAGGTTTGTGTTGGCTTCCAGCCAGCAGTGGGAATTACAGGTTATTTGTCAGAATAATGCTGTTAGTTGACTGGAGGAGTGTGTGAAGCGGCAGAGTTGGATGGTTTTGAGGTGTATTTTCGGAGCTTTGTTAATTATGTGTGTGTGCGTGTGTTTACGCAACACTGCCAGAAGAAAATATTACCCACTGTACCCGTCAGTTTGTGACTATGGATCTCTGTCTATCCGACAGAAAACGTTTGTTTCTGACACCTTTTGTAGACCGTCTCATTCTTATTAAGATACTTCATGGTTTGTTTTTTGTTTTTTTACCTTGCTAGGGTTACGGAGATATCCGGATGTAAAGAAACTATCCTTCCTTCCTATCTGTGTGAGTTGTTATGAGGATAACCAAATCAAAACCTCCCCTAACAAGCAGTTTTTTTTCCTCGAACAGCTCTCATGCTGGTAGAATCATCATTTGACAGCAGAAGTGCACCTGAATCGTGTAAAAGTTTGGATTTTTGTGTTACTTTTTCAACAGAATCAGACTCAGGTTTATTGTAATACGAGGAATTTGCCTTGGTACATCGGTGCGTAAGAATCACAGTCAATGACTAGATACCATTTACCCTAGTTTCAGAAACAACTCTTGCGTCCCCTGAATATGAACTTTTATCCACTTAGCAATAAGGTTTTTTTTTAGGGTTTCATAAGTCTGTGATTGCTCAGCTTGTTAAAGGACCTGCTGTCCCTCAGTTACAACATCCACACCACCAAACTTGGAGAGACAGGGTTTTTATCGTTAGCACTAATAATAGTGCATAGGCCTAATTCACCCAGTCACCCGTGAATGACCTTGGTGGGCCAGTTTGTGTAATCTTGGATTTGCCAACAGTAATCTACGCTCACTCAACCTCGATTCCTGCGTGCACCCCCCCCCCTCACAGACACACTCCGCCACCCTAAAAGCCCTTTTCACCCCTTTTTTGCTGCGCCTTAAAGCTGCAAATCTTCTACATCACCCAAACAAGGTCTTGCTCTAATCCCTCTTTATTGACTGGCAGATGCATTCTGGGATATCAAGGAGGCACCAGTGCACTGTGCAGAAGTGATTTTTGCCGATAATTGCAACAGATGCAGTTTTCTCATGACAATTCTCTTTGGTGTTATTCATATTGAGTGCTTTCCTCCTGCCAATGCAGATTTGTATTGACAGCAGTTTGACAATTTCTTTTCTTGTTCTCTGTTTTAACAATAGCTGCAGTTGTTTAAACTCTTAAAATGTTTCCTTTCCAAAAGAATTCTAGCTATCCTTATGAATATGGCTTGGTTCGACCTGTTTGGCCCTGTTGCATAAAGGCAGGTAGCCGTTTCTAAACCAGACTCACATTAAGAGCCATATAGTCTTAATAGGCTGTAGATCTAACCTTTGCGTTGCCTTTAGAAGCCCTGTAGTCAAAATCAGGCTAAAGATTAGCCCTGTATAGCCTGGGTAGTGGCCTTTAGCTGGAACCAGGCTAGTTAGTAAGCTTCATTTAGCCGTGTGGACCCAACCAGGCTACGGATTAGCCCTACATATAGCTACAGGCTAAAGGGTGTTAGGGCTGTTAAAAAAAAAACTAAGAACAAAGTGTACCATATGAGTGTGTTTGCTCAGTCTGCTCAGTCTGAGCTTCTATCAGCGATTCACTCTGCTCACTGAGAGCAATGTTGCTGGGGGACGTTGCTTGAAAAAGTTGCTGGTGTGCGGTTGCCCTGTGAGCAGATGGCACAGCCGTCTGTCTCCACATTAGCAAGATACTGATGAGATGAGTCAGTTAACACACACACACACACACACATACTTCCTTTGCCATTTCTGTGTGTGTCTAACTGTGTTTAAGTATGTGCGTGTGGATTCTGTCATGTTCATGTATGAACTTTGTGTCTGCAGATGTCCCTTATCTCTTGCAGTTGTATGCGTGCACCTATGTGTGTGTGCGTGTGTGTGTATAGTTTCTCCTCTGTTCTGCTTCCTCTGAGACAGCAGGGAACATCGCTGACTCACACTATCCACCATGACACAGGCACACACACAATAACAGTAATAAGAGTGGCTGAAACACAAAAGCTGCCGGCGAATGCAATTGCTTTTTCTGATGGAATATCAAAGTATTTCTGATTGAAAACTATGTTTTTTGAAAACTGCATCAAAAACAATCAAACCCTGGAGAGAAAAATATCACTGTGTGTATCTGTGTGTATATTGTGACAGGTGTAGCCTGGAAAACACACACTTAATGGCAAGATGGGCTACTGTATTCAACTCTAACGCCTGAGTGCATCTAAAAGACAATCCGCTGCTCTTATGGTGCATTTAGAAGATGTGGGCAAAATAGAAAATAAAGCCATGATGGATGAAAAAGAGGAGTGAATCTAACATTCAACACACACAGAGAAGAGTGGGGCGTTTGATTCGAACTCCAGGGTGCTTTGATTGAGCACGCTCTGTGTGGAGGACTGTGGATTTTGTGGATCAGACTTGAGTTACTCTGAAACTGTTTGGTTTGTTTGCCATCAATCATTTTACATTTGTCTGATTTTAAAGCCGGTGTCCACCTCTATTACATTAAATTACACTAAGCTGACACTGTTATCCGGTAAGCAGGCAGGGTTTGCTTCATGCACACTTAAACACTTAAGATTATTTTGTGTAAGGGGAAATGAGTGTACAGTTGAGGCGATGTGTCTGATCTAATCCAGTTTAGTAGATTTGGCTGTGTTTGGACCTCGTTTCCCAAAGAAAAGCTTCATGTTGGAGGGAAAATTGTGCATGTTTGGTTGAAGATCCACCTATATTGGGAGTAATGTTTTTCTAATCCATCAGTTTTCCATTACGTCCACCTAAAACTGAAAGAATCAGCTCTGTTTGGTCTTGAAGAACAGTGCCCTCTTGCTGTTTTGTGCTGTAAGTGAAGTTTTGAGTAGATTTACCTCCTAATTTGACCTTGTTTACAATGTAACATTGTACATGCTGTGAGAGGTCCTATTTTTGGTTCAATTTATTAAATGATAAATGATTATAATTTTGTTTTAAAGGGGACCTATTATGCTAATTTCTAGCTCTATATTTTTATTCAGGGACTCTGTTAGAGTAGCTTTGCATATATCACAGTTAAAAAAAAATCCTAATTTCTCTTATATTGGCCCTTTTTTGCAGCCCCTCAGTTCATCCTCTGTCTGAAACAAGCTGTTTTAGCTCCTGTCTCTTTAAGGCCCCACTCCCTAAAATCCCACTTTTTTCTGATTGGCCAACCTCCGGGAAGCTTGCCAAGGGGGAGCACCCAGTGCCTGTGGATAACGCGTCATCCTCTGGCCGGCGTGGCATACAACAGCTACTGTAACTTAGCCTGGACAATAGCGCTGTGGGGCCCTGAATTCGATGAATTTACTGTTCATCAGAGCACAAATGAGATAATAATTAGGTTGGAAAAACGGTCGACGCTGTCAGAGCAGAGTGTTTCTGGGTGCTGGGCCTTAGTAGTTACTGTACACCTCTAAAGCATCAGAATCAGAAATACTTTAATACTTTAATGTATTTCTGATAGCATAATGATTAACATGTTAAATCTTGATTGTAATCCGTACAAAACCTGCTGTAGCTTGGTGATGGTAAGATTAGGGCTTCAGTCTTATGCTGTCATCTTCTGTCTACTTCTACTTAAAGAACAGATATGAGTGATAGCAACCTCCTCACTGAACTCTTGGCAATCAAGCAAAATAAGTATACTTATTGTATACCCCAAATGTCCAACTATTCCTTTAACTTTATTTTCTATGTATTTCGTTTCTTTTGTTCTGTCTTGGTCTTTTCTGGTGTTGTGTTATAGGTGTTATTAAGTGGAGTTAAAATGCTAAGACTACAGTATAATGATTTAGCAGTTGGGTGCATGCATGCAACTGCGAATGTGAAGTAAAACTGGGCCTAAAATGAAGACAGAGGATTAATAACACTTGGAATAAAGATATTTCTAATGCATCCTCACCTGTACTGACCCTCAGTCTGACAGTACAGGGAGTTCTGCTCAGCTAGCGTCCCCTGGAAATAAATCTGAAAGATGTAAGTGTAGGAGAGTCAGAGGTGAGGTGTGTAGTTGCTGCTGACTGCCTGTAATGTTTTATAGTGCTGTCGGTTGTGTTAGTGGATCCATTCTCCGCTCGCTGTGCCCCATTAAAAAACTATTGCGGTTCCTTCTACTGCTGTGTATTTACTGCAAAACTGATTATAGCGCACTGTACTGCTGCTAGGAATTTCAAAGCAGGGTTATATTGTATCTGTGTGTGTATGTGTGTGTGGGAGAGGAATAAGCTGTCAAAATGAAAAAGACAACTTCTTAAGGCTTTACCATCAGCTAAAATAACACGCAGATATGTAAGCGGAGAGCACACACACACAGTGTTAAGAATTGCTTAACACACAGAGTTGCCTCAGTGTGCAGTCAATGTGGGGCATTGGGACGTATAAGCTTTTTATTGCCTATTTATTAGGAGTGAACACAGTACCAGGGAGACAACAAGATGATGATGAGGGGCTGATGTGTAAGAAAAAGCGGGATGATGCCTTTAAGGTGTTTTTCCAATTATAAATGTACAATTTAACCTCATTATCAGCTGGTGGCTCACTGGTCTGGTAAACAGTCCAATTTGTAGACATTTAATTAAAAAATATTGGTTGGTTTTTCAAATTAAAAAGAAATGCTGTTGGGATGAGCTGGTGTGTTTGACCTAAGAATCTCATGGCTTCTCTTTATTCTGACATTCCCATCACATGAAGAAAACAAGGTACTAGAAGAGGCTCTTTGAAAGCAAAACGGAAAAAAGTCTTTTGATCAAAACTTTTCCCCGTGCTTTATTTTCCCACTTCTTACTTTTCGGATGCAAACTAAAGTAATTTCTTTTGTGCATCTGAAGAGCCTCCTCTGCTTCTTTGTCAGAGACTTTTTCTCTACAGTGTTTACCTTTGTACCTGATATCACTTTTTAACAAGCCTGGAGTCACAAAGCTTTCACTCAAGCATTGCAAAGATTCCCATTAAGTCTTGGGAGATCTAAATCTAAATCTGCTAAATCATCCTTTCCAAAATATCTATTTTGCTGCCAGTCCCTTATGATCCCTGAAAGAGGAGGGACACACAGTGAGCGTGAGATGGGGGGGCTCTTTGATCTTAGTTTAGCTGGGTGTTAATATAGGAGTGATTCACAGCCAGAGGGTCAACTCAGATCACACCTTTATTCACGGTGGCGGGTGGTGCTTGCAGGGTAGCGCGGGGTGTGTGTTTTTTTGGGAAAGCTTGAGCGTGAGGACACGGCCAGGTTAGCTGTTGCAGTAGAGACACCTGTGTTTGTCTGCGCACGGTCAATGTAGTGGGAGACCATTGTCTTGATGTACAAGAAGCTGTTTGTGGCCATTTACTCAGAGAGAGAGAATAAAATGGGTTTAAATAATTCATTTTATTGCCTCCATAAACATAAAGCACATCCCTTCCTGTTAAGTCGACTGTTTTTTCCTGGAAAACACCTGCCATAAACAGACCTTTCAGGGACTGGATATACTGTACAGTCTCTAATGTGCAATGCAGAACATTTAATTGTATTATTGTAGTACTATAACAATATAGAAAAGCAGATTCTGGTTGTATAATGGCTTCAAATGTGTAGAACCAGCTGTGTGGCAGCAGCTGTAATCTCTGCTATGTGTCGACCTGGCCGAACGAGTGTGACAGCTGTGTTCGTTTTCCCTGTAATACCATTGCTTTTGGGCCATGTGGTGTGCCTATTGGTATCCCCTGGAAGTGTGTGTGTTTGTACAGGGGAAGCATTTGGTAAAGAAGTGTGTGTTTCAGTGGAATTTGGTGTTTGATGTACGTGTGTGTGTGTGTGTTTTTTTGTTTTCAGCTCGAAGGGTTTATTGTTTTACTCTAGGGCACATCAGCTGTTGGAATCGAACCTGTGACCTTTCCGGTACTGGACAGGTGGCCTGCTGCATCAAGTGAACAGGAGTCAATGGGAGACAACCACAGAAATCCTGAGGCCTATTTTTTTAAGTGTGTGTGTGTGTGTGTGTGTGTGTGAGAAAAAAGACCACTGTCACAGCTTTGCTAGCAGCCAATACAGTCTATGCTTGTGTGTGTATTCGTAAGACAGAAATAAGAGTGTGTTTGTTGGAAACCTTAGTGCTTGCACGTGTGTGTGTGTGTGTGTGTGTGTGTGTGTGTGTAGCTTGGGACAGCTGTTCCTCACTGTGTCCTTTCAACCTCAACACACACACACACAGACCCCAGCCACCCTGTGTAAAGGTCAGATCTCCACCCCTCCAGGCCACGCTAGAGTTTCAAAACAAACCTACCCCCCTTTCCAAACGCCCAGCATTTCCCAGGAAGCGCGTTAGGGTACAGTGACACCCCAGAACTTTCACACATGCACACACACACACCACTGAAGGACAGTTAGGATGGTGTTGGATTAGACGAGTGTTGACCTTTGATCCAGAAGAGCTTCAGAACCAGAACCCCTCCTCCTTCCTCCCTGTCCTTCCTCCTTTGCACCTTTTTAAACTGCGTGTGTGATGAAACAAGTAGAGATGATGGGTGATTTTAGGAAGAAAGCGTTGGTCAAAGTCACGCTTAAGTCTGTGTGGCGTCTCTCTCGTTGCATGGGAGCATTTCCCTGAGGAGGAATGAAGAGTGGAGACAGAGGGAGGGAGAGGGAGAGAGATGACGACTATGGCTGCAAAAATAACTTCCATATTTAGACTCAGAGGAAGAGAAAGATACAGAGCAGAGAGAGGAGAGATCCTGTGAGAGACGGATTAGGAAAAGAGCATCGCTGGTGCTTTGGCTCTTCTACAGTGTTCAGTTAGGGGCTGCCTCGCACAAAAGGTGACCAAATCATGAGAAGACAAATTGACGGTCCTAAATTGCCCAGTGAGTTGTCCATCAGCGGCCGATTTAGAGCTTTGGAGACCAAAACCAGCTGGCGATGAACATGCAATATTGTTGTTATAGCAGAATGTGCAGAGGCCTTTAATGGAGTGAAAGCAAAGTGACTGAAATGAGAGATCGATTAACACCAGCAATGAAGAAGAAAGCCTCTCTTTCCCTCTCTTTGTTTCCTTTTTGTCTCCCTCTCTCTCTCTCCTTCTCTGTATTGATGTTTTGAAATGAATACTTGTCAGATAGCTGGGCTCTATATATAGAATGGAGACATACAGATACATTCCCTCTCTCTCTCTCTGTCTTTTCTCTGCCTCTTCTAACCGCCCTCTTTCATTAGCTGCACGCTGACCTTCCAACGGCGTGTCACGATCCTCCTTTAGAAAGTTCACAACCCTAAAGATGCCATAACATGCTCAGTGGAAATTCCCGGAAAACCGTGCATCTTCAATGATAACCTTAAGCCAAACTAGTGGGTGCAAAATAGCGTTCGCTTGCTCTAACAGCCCATTGGGTTGCACTTAAGATTGATCCGCACTGTCTGATGTTCTGCTCAAGCAACCTGTTTCAGCTGCCTCATATTATAAAGGTAATAATAGCATTTTATGGAACCCTTTTTAAGGAAAAAATGCCCTAAAACCGCTATCAGGGATGTGGTTGAGGATTCTGGCTCCATTTAGCTGCTTACTGCGTTTCTGGTCGTGATCACATCAGGAAATCTCCAGCAACTTGAGTAGAGCTGCCACTTTCACATCATTTGCTACTTACACGGGAAAGAAAACATCAGTTTCAGACAAGAAGAACTGAGTTACTCGTTACTCACTTCATCTTAATGTCAAAACAACGCTATTCTTTGCTCTTCTTTCAATATAGAAATACTCCCCAGTTCTGATAATAACTGATGCTTGAAGCCTGGTAAGATGGATTCTTGCATGATTTTATGATCTTGCTGCTTCGCAAAGGTTCAGAATAGCCTCCTTTAACTTAGAAATGCTGTAATCCGGTTGGTTAATCATATGGAAATCTAGCCAATCAGACACAGCTTCTAGTAATGAAGGAATATCATATATAACCACTGGGAAGCTCTCAGAAGCAGTATTTTTGAGCTTACAATTATTTTTTGCCTCCATTCCAAATGATTTATCAGACAAATCTTCAATATCTGATTTGAACAGTCTAATGGCAGCATTTTAATTTAATTTAATTATTGATTGAACTGTGTATCATTGACTAAAGCAGAACAACTGGAAACATATGATGAGCAGTAACACAGTGCAAACTGGCTGAGTCATTTTGTCCTATAGAGAAGACTTTTACTAGTCTAGTTTTGTACCATACACTGTATAAATGCTTCAAAGTTTCAAAAGTCTAAAGTTTGGAAGAATTTTGAGTGTGTAAAAAGGCAACTCATGTCGACCATTTTCTATAGCAGGCCGTAGGTTTTCTTGAGATTGATGAATGAGATTTTCTTGCCTTCCAGGCAGCCATTAGTTTCCATTCATTTCAGCACAGAATAAAAACCAACTTACAGAGACTTGAAACTTGCTTAAAAAAGGTAATCCATCACGGTGAGCAACATGTCCTCTTTTATTTTTGTCAAAGTTATTGTTCTGAAACCTTTCTTTGGTTGCATTCAGGTGTTTTTAGGAAAGTAGGAGAGACATGAATACATCTACATAAAAACTGGTCTCACATTACTTATTTCTCCAGGTCTGTCTCTTTCTATCTCTCGACCCTCTTTTGCTCTCATCCTCCCTTTTCCCTCCATCTTCTCCTCTCTCTGACTCAGTGTTTTCCTCTCCTGTCATTCCTTCCCCTTGCACCATTAAAGAGTCGTGACTGGACGGATGGATGAAGGGATGGATGCTGGGACTCGTGGATGGAGGGATGGAGGGGGGAGGGTAGGAGAGAGGAACGGGTGTGTCGTGATGCTAGGATTCACCTCTCCGCTCTGCAGTGCGGGGGAAGAGAAGAAGTGACGGAGAGGAAGGGTGAAGAGAGAGAGATGGAGAGGAAATGGATGGGGTTAAAGAGCATGGAGACAGAGTGGAGGAGAGAAGGGGGGGAATGAAATGAAAGAAGAGGGAGGGAATAAAGAAAAGGAGTGAGAGGGAGGAGGGAGGGTGAGTTTGCAGACACACCGCGTGCTGCATGAGAATGAGACAAGACAGGACACATGCACGCACGCACATACACACACACACGCACGCACGCACGCAATCACTCACTCAGTTGTGATGCATCTGCTATATGAGCCATTAGATCAGGTGACCAAGGTCTGGTCCGTTACCTTTTACCTGCTTCTTCTCCTCTTCCATCTCTATATCCGCTCATTTCATCACCTCTTTCTCTCCCTTTTTGCTTTACATTCGTGTTCTCTTTCTCTTTTCATCCTCTTTTCCTTTGCAAATTTCTCTTTTCTCTCTTTCATCTCCTATCTCCCCTCTTTTGTAAACCCTTCTCTTGTTTTGTCACTTTTTCCTTCTTCTTCCTCTCTCTCTTATATTATTCCTTACCCATCTTCATCCCCTTCCCACTTCTATCTCTTATCTAGTCTTCTGTCCTTCCTTCATCTGTGTCTTCAGTAATGAAACTCGTCACTGTTCGCACTAATAGAACGGCTGCGATACAGAAAGCACATAAATCAGCCTTTGTGTGTGTGTGTGTGTGTGTGACCAGGCCATTTAGATCCGTCACTGTGATATAAGTGCTCAATCTGCCTGGATACAGTACCTGGATCACGTGCACACTCTTACACACACACACACACACACACACACAGCTGAAGGTGGTGCCACCTTGTCGGGAGTTTAAACGTCTCCTTCAGCTTTTCTCCCTGGGTCATAGTCCTTTAACAGTAAATGTGTGTGTGTGTGTGTGGGGGGGTGGGGGGACAGGTGTGTGTTATCCAAGCTGCTGTAACATTAGACACCTCCTGTCATTGTCTCTGTGTAAAGGATACCAAACTGCTGACTGACTGCTAACCCCTGTAGTGTGAGTGTGTGTGTGTGTGTGTGTGTGTGTGTGTGTGTATTTTTGACATCTTGGGAAAATGCTTTATGCAGTCATGCATATGCAGGTGTGTGTTAGACAGCTGCCAGCTGGGCTAACCAGCAGCATACACAAAGTGGGGGTGTGTCTTTTATCCCACCTGACAGTATGACACAATACTGGAGACTGCAGCTAATGATTGACAGTCAAATACCAGGGAAAGAGGACAAATGTCCTTCACACATTGAGACACCATGGTTACGTCTCTTGTTTGATCATTTTGTGTCAACGATGGTTAAAAGTTGCAAGGACATGGAAAGGAGAACAAATGAATACTTTGACTTTTGAGAAGTGGGAACTGGCTGATATTGGCGTACATTACTGATTATTAAAAATGTTGCTGATAGGGCGCATTTTTTTTTTTTATCTCACGTGGTAGAGTTGAAGGCTTACCACAGAGTCCTGGGTTAGATTCCAGCCTGTGGCCCCTTTGCTGCATGTGAGCCCCTCTCTCGCTCCCCCCTTTCCTTTCTTCGCTTCAGCTGTCCATTATAAAAAAATCAACAAAGAAAAATTTACTGTCAGTCGGTTAATCCAATATACATCATATTACACTGTAAAATGGCCTTACACACTATCACCAAACCAAACTGGGGGGGGGGGGGGGTGAAACTGTCAGAGTTTGTGGTCACAGCAGATGGCAAAGGCATAAAGGGAAAGGAGGACAAGAGACAGTGGGGGTGATGGGAAATGCAGTCTTAATTTGATCAATGCTGGTGTGAGATAAAGGCCTTCCATCATCTGCACCGTGGTCTCTTTTGTTTACAGTAGTTATACAAAGGTGCCGTCTTTAATTTGGCGTTGATTAACTGATATCAGATGCTCCGGGATGTTAGCCGCTTTAGCCGCTGTTTCTCCTCTGTCTATTTGTTTTTTTGCTCCTCAACCCTCCAACCACACAGTTCACATGCTGGATTGCGCTTATCTACGCATTTCCTAGAAATCGACCTTGAGAAGCCACCGGTGTGTGTCAGCGTGTGTGTGTGTCTCTGTGTGTGTGTGTGTGTGTGTCTGTTGCCGAGCTGTGATAAGCTTTTTCTATTAGTTACAGCTAGCTAGGCCCACCCAGCTGGAGGGGAACACAGCCCATTACAATTGAATTGAGTCTATAGGATTTACTCACACAAATGGGCTCTTTGGATCACTGATAGTGAGTGCGTGTGCGTTGGTACAAGTACGTGTGTGTGAGCAGGCCAGTGTGTGTTGCTTTTGTTGTGTTTTGAAAGTGTCCCATAACAACTTATACACAGTATTTCTAACTTTGTTTGAGTGTGTTCTTGATGCATTTGTGTGTGTGTGTGTGAGCGTCAGCTAGGAATCAAATTAGCACTCAGTAATGAGAAGTGAATTTGCCCGGTGACCAATCTTCACGATGCAGCTCCACACTATAATCTGCAGGCTGCAACCGACGGAGAAATCACAATCAGCTGCTATTTGTCTTGCAGCCGACACACACACACACACACACACACACACACACACAGGTTTGTTTATGTTTTTGTCGAGTGCAAACAGGATGTGATTAGGCA